AGAACAATTACACTGATGAAAGTTCATGATGAACCTTCTAAATCTTCATTGTGAACTGTAATATCTTCAGGAAGCCACCTCAGCGTCATGGAGACCAACTCGGCCTAAGATTAAACGAAGAAAAGACTAATTAATTATACGTCGTTGGAATGAGGAAGAAAAATAATGTGCCGGAAGCAACAAAGAAATTTGTGCTTTTTGATGGCTGATGCAGAAACGCCTGTAGCAACAAATTACAGAACTTACATGTATAGGACCCTTACTGGATAGGGAAACCAAAGAAGGGAGCAATTCTTGCCATAAATTTAATCCCTCTCTTCTGACAATCTGTAAATCAGACAAAAAGAGCAAGAACTAGTGCTATGGATGCCCTTCTAAAAAATAAATAAATAAATAAATGACCTTTGCATTCATACGTGAAAAGTTACGATAAAATGAAGTAAAACGAGAAAGCTAAAACTTAAACTGAGAGTATCTTACAAAACCTGATACACAGTTGACAGGATTCAATTATGATATTTAAAACTGTTGTTCAAAGAGATTTTTATTTTTATTTTTCAATTTTTATTTTTTTAGAATTGGATTCACAAAGATGATATAATGACTTTCAAATCCCAAAACAATGAATGACCTTCCTATATCTCTATACTGTCAACCGTATTACACCACGAATGATAAATCGAGATCTTGTAATTCCTAAGGTGACAAACCTCGGCTACAAGAGCAGCTGTCTGACTTTTCAAAGCCCATTCTTCACAAGGAGTCGTAATTTCAGTCATCAGATCAATGCAAACATTTGCAAAATTTCTCTTCTCCATAGAATTCAATTCCTCCCACCGTAAACGAACCAAATGCTGCATAAAGATACCAAAAAAAAAAAAATACAGCTTAAATCATTATTTTTTAGATAAAACCATCATTCAAATATGTGAAAGTTGAAACAATGATAGAAATCTGTAATGGGGAATTTGGAACTATGAATTAAATCATTGAAGCAACTTCAATCACAAAATCTTTACATTTAAATTCAACTTAGAAAATTATAAGAGTTATGCTTGCAGATCAAAAATACTTAAAGACCACAGAGAATAACAAAAATAGGAACTGAAAACACTTCCAAAAAAAGGTTAATGGGGTCTGATGCTCGGTTTAACTCGATATAACTACAGCTTTAACCAGTCCTTAAGCCTAGAAAAGGGTTCTCAGAATTACATTTACAGTTCAATACAAAAAATTCAAACGCAGATGACCAAATAAATATAAATTATCAATTGAAAAAATCAAGCCAAGATGAAGCCAAAAGGGTGTTGTTCATAAAATTACAAGCTAGGCATTAAAGACGGAATCACAAGAATATTTGCAGAAAAGACACATACCTAAACGAAACTTTTCGACAATGTTGTTTACCAAGCTATATCTTGGTGTAAATTGTCTAATATTTTTACTTCCTATAGTTATACCTCCCTCATAAACACCATGGATTATACATCCCTTTTGTAAATTTCAATTATCAATGAAATTGTTTCTTAAAAAAAAAAAACGGAATCACGAACTTGTAGCATTTTATATGCATGAAGCCGGATCTCAGAAGACCACTTATTTGTAACTAGAGCGAGAGATGTGCTAGCCAGAACGCGTATGTCGCCAGTTTTAATCTGCAAAAGCAAAGAGAATGCTCAGAAAACACAGGCAATTAAATAAGATCATTGAGTAATTCAGTAAAAAATTGACCAAATATATAACATAATTTACAACCAAACAGCAGTAGAAAAATAACATCGCGTTCTATTTGGTTTGACAATCTGTTCTTCTTATCAACGAAACAAAAATCACTTCCACTGCTCAAAATTTACCATCATGAGGGCACAAAAAGGGGATAAAAACATTTCAAAATGAACTTCCGATAATGATGAACAACTTTTGAAGATTCATCATAAATTTCCCCTAAATAAGCAAGTGATTTCATGAACCAGAAACCCAACCACTACCAACATCTTTCAAAACTCATAATAAAAAAATCTTCCCAAACATAAACAACTTTTGAAGCTTGATCATAAATTTCCCAGTAAACCAACCACAATCAAAACCTATTTAAAACAGCATCGCCAATCATCAATACCCTATTCCACTGACAAGAATTCCCCCTCATGCATCGAAAACCCCCCCCAAAAAAGAGACAATCACTAGCTTAATTTCCACGCACACATAAACCATTAACCAAAAAAAAAAATTAAACAAACAACACAGCATGATAGAGCTTACGGATTCTAGATAGGAAAGAGCAGCTTTTCGAGCGTCGGGAGTGGAGCTCCAGTCGAGCGATACAGCAATGGCTTGGGCCACATTATTAGCCGTATTGTCGTCCATCGCTTCCTTCCCAGTAGCTTTTTCCGGCCGCCTGAGAGAGGTTTGAAGGATTGTCGAAGGGACTGTTGAAGAACAACTTCTCTGCAAGTCTCAATAGGTCGTCTTCTTCCCTCTGTAAATACAAAGAACCAACCTTTTTTCTTTCTTAATTCTTTCAGTTTTTCCTTTCAATTTCCCTCTGTGAATACTTTTCCAAAAATATAAATATATAAATTTTGGCTGACATATATATATATATATATATATATATATATATATATATATATATATATATATATATATACTATAATCTTTAAAATAATTGTCGATAGCCTGTGTTTAAGAAAACTATTCATCGTAAGATTCGAAGTGTTCGATAAATTAGTCGTCGTAAGATCCAAAGTGTTTCGGTAAATTTAAATTTTAGATAAAAAAAATATATAAGTCGGAAATTTATACAAAAATAGAAATGTTAAGCCTACAACGAATGTTGAACGAAAAGTTAATTTGTCGGGTTCTATTTGATATTGCTGTGATCTTTAGATGTGCTTTAAGAAAATTAGTTGTCTTAAGATTCAAAGTGTTCGGTAAATTTAAATTTTAAATATAAAAAAAAAATATAGGTCAAAAATTCATACGAAAATAGAAACGTTAGCCTACAACAAATGAATATTAAATGAAAAGTTTATGTGTCGGGTTCGTTCGAGATTGCTGTAATTTTTAAAATAATTGTCGATAACTTGTGTTTTAAAAAACTCGAGCATGATTACGTCTTTCAAACTTAGTATTCGTTGTTATTATCGATTCAAGTCATTTTCGATTTCTCGTAAAATATTATAACGAAATTTTATAACAATTTTAAAATGTGTACGTGAGATAGAAAGTATTAATGCAAACTGATACAAAATAATATAAGAGATTATACCACACATGTTTTTCGATCTTAAAATATTATTTCTAAGGTTTTAAAGTTTTAAGTTACGATTTTTGAGGTTTCATTGCATATTCAAGCAGTATTTATCGAGTTATCTTATAGATTGATTCGAATCACGAGATTATAAATAATTTTTCCTTTATTCTTGATATTTGATCATCAAGGTAATCCGTTCCAAAACTTTAACTTGGGTTGATTCTTATCGTTTTTTGGGTTCTTAGATAATTTAGATCAAAAGATCATGTTCTTCAACAAAATTATTAGATCAAATCCCGAGAATTTTATAACAACAATTTTTTTAAACGTAAACGTACCTTTTAAATTAACGAGCTCAAATTTTCTCAAATTAATAAATTTTTAGGTGTTATGCTTCAACTCCAAGCAATGTTTAATGTTAGGCATTGACTTTAGACCAAGGAAAAAACATGTTAAAATTTTCAAAAATTCATGAATATATTATTAGGTCTTTTCAATGTGTGACAATAGCCCAATTTTATTCCTTTCATAACTACGAACGTAACATAAATGTTGACAAAAAGGTCGAGATCTCGATGTTACAAACAAATGAATGAAAATATCAATAATTTAAAAAAAAAAAAAAAAAACTTTTTTACAAATTTAAACGAATTATAAATCTTTATCGGTAAATATTAATATTTATATTTACAGTGAGTAGAGTTGAATTTTTTTTTAAATAAAAAATTTGGGTCGGTTTGCAAGTTCAACATTTTTTGGTCGAGCTATAAAAACTAGGATTACAACCCAACCCTACTATACTTCTAAGATTATTACGAAAATTAAGAATATTTGACGTTTAAAACCGATTTTAATGATGCATAGTAACTTATGAATGTTTGATATTTGAGTTTTATGACATTCTAGTACATGTACTTTGACAACCCAAACCAAAATAAAGGGTTTTGGGTTGGTCGAAACAATTTCTCCGACCCAACCCATGTACACCTGTACTTATCTTGATTTTTTAAATCTATAATATCGATGTTGAGGCAATGTGTGAAACCCCACATCGGTTGGGGAGGAGAACGAAACATTCTTTATAAGGGTGTGAAAACTTCTCCCTATCAAACACGTTTTAAAAACCTTGAGGGGAAGCCCGAAAGAAAAAGCACAAAGACAATATCTGCTACTGGTGGTGGAGTTGGGTCGTGATAACAAAAGCTCATATGTGTTAGATGATGAAAGTCCGACATTGACTAATTTAGGGAATGATCATGAGTTTATATTCAAAGAATACTCTCTCCTGGTATGAGGCCTTTAGGGGAAGCCCAAAGCAAAGCCATGAGAGCTTATGCTCAAAATGGACAATATCATACAATTGTGGAGAGTCGTGTTCGTCTAACATAGTATAAGAGTCATTGCCTAAACTTAGCCAATAGATACATAAATCCTCAAATGTCGAACAAAGGACTCCAAAAGAAAAGGAGCCGAGCCTCCTTGAAGGCATAGTAAAAAATGACTAAGACTCCAAAAGAAAAAGGAGTCGAGCCTCAATTAAGGGGAGGCGTACTTTGTTCGAGGGAAGGTGTTGGATGATGAAAGTCCGACATCGACTAATTTAAAGAATGATCATAGATTTATATTAAAAAAATACTCTCTCCATTGATATGAGGCATTTTGGGAATCTCAAAGTAAAGCCATAAAAACTTATGCTTAAAGTAGATAATATGTGAAGCATCATTCACAACCATCATTCACAACCGGTCGAACAAGAATGAAAATATTCATTGGATAACATAAAAGCTTCACAAAAGTTGTCATTATCATCCAAAAATAATAAATAAAGAACAATGAGAAGAAAAAAACAAACAATTTGACCACTTTCCTAAAGAATCTTTATTCAGAAAGTGTAGTTTATAGCAGAAACTTCACAAGGAACTTCTCAAGAAAGTGGTCAGTTTTGAATGTTATCTAACAAAGTGGTAGCATTGGAGAGAACTCTTTCACCTTATGCAATGATCTACCTTATGTTGGGCAATGAATAGCATCACCATGGCCAAGAAGCTTTGTCGATATTATTTTCGAGCACTCTGCGAATGAACAAAGAACGAGCACGAGCAGAAAGATCTAGCAAATTCGGGGAATCTATGGAAGAAAGCGAGACATTAGGATGTCCCATTTCAGATAACAAAAGAAAACCAGGTATGTTCTTGCTGCAAGACACCAGGCTTGGTGTCAAAGTTGGTCAGAACGAGCCATTTCTAAGTATATAAGAACTTGACCGGTTCTGGTGCATGATTCTTAACTTACATGATGCGAAGTTCATGCTACCTTTTTCCCTTTAACTGAAGATTGGGTTGATTGTCGTTCTTTTGCATCGCCTCCCGGATACTTCTGCCTTTGAGCACCGATGTCGGAAGACTCGACCAATGGTCCGGACCAGGTTTCGTCGAATTTGTTTGGATAGCCGAATGATGTGGAACTGAATGCAACATCAGAAGGAACAGCAGCTGGATCAATATGACGTGAGTATCCCAATGTGAATCCGAGTGCCCCGTCCTGATGTGGAGGGGGGAACTTTTCGCTCTTGCTCTTTGCATTTGCGTGTGTAATTAAACGTCGTCTCTGTTTCAGAAGAAGAACAGACATGTCGTAAGTTAGAATCGGAACAAGATCAATCCTAGCTTTTTCATAGCTACAGCTTGAAGAAACTGCCGATTAATTCACAACGAGAGCGTCCAAGATTAATTCACAAGGAAAATGTCGAAAAATTTCAATAAACATCTGTCGACATGGTTAAGTCATGATATGCAGGCCATGGAAGATTACAACCAAGTCAAATATTTTGAGCTAGGCCGACCCATGGTGGTTCATAGGTATGAGAGACTGAAAAATAGCCACCACCATACTTCGAATACATAGAAACAAGCCCATGAAGATAAATGTACTAATTGTACAAACGATTTGGACATAGTGTTTTGGAAACGGTAAACCTACTTGTCAAGAGATGAAGGGTTACAAAAAGATGCTAGAATCCATAGGAGATATTGTATGCTTTGGCTCGTTACGTATTGCTGTCAGCCTCACGGTTTTAAAATACGTCTACTAAAAATATGTTTCCACACCTTTATAAGGAATGTTTTGTTCCCATCTCCAACCAATGTGGGATCTCACAATCTACCCCCCTTGGGGGCCAGCGTTCTTGCTGGCACACCATCTGGTGTCTGACTCTTATATTATTTGTAACAGCCTGAGGCCACCGCTAGTAGATAGTGTCCGCTTTGGCCCGTTATGTATCACCGTCAGCATCACGGTTTTAAAATGCGTATACTAAGGAGATATTTCCACACCCTTATAAGGAATGTTTCGTTCCCATCTCCAACCGATGTGGGATCTCACTGTAAGAAACTCTAGATCATCTTATTCTTCACTGCCCCTTTTGAGTCTATAGCTTGGAATCATATTTTTAAGAAAATGGGGATTTCCATTTGTAACCCTCGGAAAGTGGACAATTGACTTCTTGAAGGCTTTAAATTTATGGAATTTGAGGAGCAAAGCTAGGCTTTTGGGGAGCTATGCAACCTGAGCTCTTTAGTGGCACATATGAAAGGAAAGGAACAAGAGGTCTTTTAAAGCTAAGTCTTTACATTCTGATTCTGTTGTATTTTTGTACAGAATACAGTTTCTTGGTGTTCTTTACCAGCAAAACTCTCTTTTGTGATTACAGCCTCTTGATGATTATCCAGTGATTAGAAGACGCTAATTATGTCGTTCTTAGACACAGCTGCTTTCTAACCCGGCCCTTTAGCTGTTCTTGTTGAATACTTCAATGTAAAAACACATCATAAATGTCAAATAGAACAAATGTAAACACACTTACGTCAATATTTGATTGGAGTTCTGCATTGGCTCCTTGAATAGGAATGGCCCTACCAGCACGGTTACGTGGACGTGTCTTCTTCACATGATCGTTCTGCAGTTTACTTGCTGCTCTTTGTCTGTAAAACCATATAATTGATGCATTATACTTAACAAAATGGGCACAAGTCACATTAATAAACATAATCCACATAAGAGCAGTCCCAGGATGTTCGTTGCAATGCTTCCATTTTATTAGAAGATTTACAGAGGAAAAATAAAGAACTCTTTCATTAACGTTATATTTCCTGTGTTTTTGTATTTTCAAGAAAGATAACAATGTGTTTGATAAATATAATTTGCACTTTGAAAACTTAATAAATAAACATTAAGACCATGTAAATATAATTCTAATGTTATACGTGCAATTTGAGTTCCAAAAAATAACAAAAAAAACTCACATTTGAAAAATTAGAAGGAAAAAAAAAAAAAAAACCTCCATGGTTTCTTAAATTGCATAGGTTGCTCGGTTTCTCGCATTCAGTGCTAGAATTCAAAAAATTGAGGAAATTGTATTGTGAGTAATGAAGTGGTTTTGAAATGGTATCTAAGCTAGACACCGGGCGGTGTGCCAACGAGGACGCTAAGCCCCGAAGGGGGGGTGGATTGTGAGATCCCCCTCGATTGAAGAGGGAAACGAAGCATTCTTTATAAGGGTGTGGAAACCTCTCCTTAGTAGATATATTTTAAAACCAAAAGAGAAAGTTCAAAGAAGACAATATATGCGCTTGGTTGTTACACTTATTCTTTTGAATTGGACCCTTTTTTATCTTGTTAGGTTTTGTAAGTGTTGTTTTGGCTCATTTCCGTAGTTTGTGGCTTTCGAGAGTCGTTTTGGTATTCTTTCATTTTTCATGATGAACACTTATTTTTCATTAAAAAGATTAAAAAAAAATGATTCTAACATCAAGTATCAAGTCTTAATGAACTACTAAACACCAAAAAACCTGAGCAACATAGAAGTATCGAGATGTCAGACCTTCGCGCTTCATCATCCCGTCTTTTAGCATCCATCTCCTTACTAGGTGGATATTTGGGGAGACTGGAAGGTTCACATGCATAAGGTTCTGTAACGAAAAACTGCAAAACAATGTGAAATAATAACATCAACAATTAGAATGTGCTGCCATTATCAACACAAAGTCTGAATACGAAGCTCAGAGAGAAGTGAAATATGAAAGGAGAAGGGACAATATCGTGCAAATATGATACCATCAATCAAAACAAATAACATAAACTTTGGCGTCACCTCGCTTTTCAATGCATCTCTAGCTGTCGTTCTCTCAGCAGGATCAATTGCAAGAAGTGTATCTATAAGAGAAAATGATGATGGAGGGAAATCTTTAAAGGTCTCTCTTATACATCTCTTATAAGGTTCTCTGGGCCTAAATAAGGCTGCATTGGGCAACTTCGCTCTCTTCAAATACTCATCTGAAGGTGAGCCACACAGCTTGAATATCTTATGTAGTTGTTCAACCTAGGGAGCAGTAAAGACATCAGATGCACTAATCTCTATTAAGATGTAAATAGAAGAGAATGTCAGTTCCATATGTGTATTCATATATCGACATTGTAAATTATCGACACCGAGATGAATTGGAAGCATAGATAGATACTGAGCAGCTCATATTGATTCTCTAAAGAATGAAGAATTTTAATACTAAAGCTGCAAGACCCTTAATAAGAAGTAAATGTCTATGTTCATGGAAACCAACTTTCATTAAGATGGAAGAACGAGCACAAAAACGTTTCCTCGCTCACATACTCACATTACCCTACTTAACGCGCCAAGGTTCAATTCTTCAGAGATAGATAACCTACAATGTACAATTTCCTCTTAAACAAAAATAAAAACACTCCTGTCCCAACGACTAAGATCTGGCACACTTTTTGAAAACCTGCCCAGGACCGTAAACATAATAAAGCCAATCAGATCTAGTTGAAAGGTGACTTTGAAAAAGAGAATGTGGTCGAGTGAGTGAAACCAGATAATTACCTCTGTACGGCCAGGCATTATGGGCCTCCCAGCTAATAACTCTGCCAAAATACAACCTGCACTCCAAAGGTCGATGCCTACACCATAATGAGTTGCACCTAGTAGAAGCTCTGGAGATCGATACCATAATGTAACAACACGATTAGTCAAAGGGTGCTTGAGTTTTGGATCAAAGAAAGTAGCTAGTCCAAAGTCCGCAATCTTAAGCATCCCTTCACCATCAATAAGAAGATTCGAACCCTTAATATCACGATGAAGCACCCTGTGGTTGTGACAATGCTCGAGTCCTGATAGCAGTTGTTTCATGAAACACTTGACCTACAATAGAACTCCCTCTCAAACGAAGAAAGATTACAATCTGCATCACTATTGAAAATTAAATGAAAATATGAACTAACCAACCTGAGCCTCTGTAAATTTGATGGATGGGTTTGCAGCAAGTCCAGCTAAATCATGCTCCATATACTCAAACACAAGGTACAAACTACATGACATCCTTGATGTAACCAAACCCTCTAACTTTACAACATTAGGATGATCTAGACGCCGCAAAATGAGAATCTCTCTGGCCATAAATCTTACACTTTCTGGCTCTAAATTGTCAAATCGGACCTTCTTCAGTGCAACAACTTTACCGGTCAACATGTCTTTTGCTTTGTACACATTACTGTATGTTCCTTGTCCAATCTGTGCTTAAGAAGATGTACATATAAAGGTTAGAATGTAAAAAAGTTTCCCATCATGAAAAATTTGGTTCCACCCCTGCAGTCACCATCTCAAATGATATGGAAAATCACTTCCTAATCATCATACATACAACACAAGTAAACTATAGCAGAGAAAAGTGATAGAATGAAGATCTTAGTAAAAGGAACTTTAGATGCACGTGGTTCCAAATTAATGCCGGATAAAAAGGATTTTGGTTATAGTTTTCCTTGCGACAATCCGGGATGAGGTGGTAATTGTGATATTTCAGCTTGGGACGCCTTTTATGTGGCTGTGTTTTGGATGTTAAATACCATTGGATGGGTTACTTTTTATTGGCACGGGAAGCACATCACATTATGGCACGGTAACGTTTCACAGTTTAATGAATCGTCCACTTATTTGATGGGATGGTCAAGAGATTATTTATGCTTAAACTCTTCACAACTTATCAATTGATATAATCCTTTTGGTATGAATAGTTTATCAGTCTGGGCGTGGATGTTCTTATTTGGACATCTTGTTTGGGCTACTTAGAACACATAAGAAAAACACTTCGATAGTGAAAATTACACCATAATAGTGTCAAAAAGCACTTAGATAGAGAAATGATTCTCAAATAGAAACAACAAACCTTATCAATCTTCTCAAAGGTATCAGCCTTCCTCGGAATCCAACCACTGAGTGCCTCCCCACAGACTGCTGTGAGCCAAGAAGGCCATCCAGCCGCCACCTGCTCCCCCTGTGATTGCTTTGGCAAATTACTCAGTCTGGGGTTAGGTTTCGACTTTTTTCTCTGCTCTTTTGTCAAAGGCTGAGCCCCATGGCCATGCCCTTCCTTCTGAGTAACATCAACAACAGCCGCATCAGCTTCCTTCCTTTCCAAATCATCACCAAATTCAGAGCTCTTCTCCTTCTTATCCTCGGAATCTGCTAAGTTTCTGGAAGCTACCTCTCGGCTATTTATACATCCCATTGCTCAAAATCAAGCTCCATTTCTCTTCTCCATGGCAAACAACAAAACCCCCTTCTAAACCTGATATCTAAAAACTAAACAAACAAACACAACAACCATACGCCACACATCAAACATAAACTCATAAAACATCAACCGATTGCCAATAAAACAACCAAGAAGCTGCCAAATTACAAATAGAGCAGTAACTTTTCAGGTAGATAAAGCTGTCTATAGTCAAATCGGAATCCACAACAACAATTATATTCAATTAGCTTTTGAAAGAGAGATGGAGAAAGACCTTTTTCGAGATGAAACGAACTGTGTCGGGAATATAAACTGGGAAAAAGCTCGTGAAATCAGTAGAAGCGGACCTTCGGCAAGTCCTCAACGAATCAAACCCACCGCCCCTCTGTATCTCTTCTTCTTCCTCCTCCGGTGAAATGCGAGGTCGTTGGTGAATGAACAGAAAGCAAGTGTGAAGAGTTAAGTGTATTGATTGTAATGAAATGGCAGTTTTTTGGAATTTATTTTGACATTTTACGAAGAAATGGTTCAAAATAATAATTTGTATTTATTTAATTATTTTTAATCGAAAAAATAAAACAAAATTTAATTATATTTTAAATTATACTTTAATTAATTACCAATGTCCTTTTGGAAAATAATTTTAAAAAATATTAATAATGTAAAACTGTCTTTGTAGTTGAATTTTTAATATAATTTTGTAATATTTGACTGCCTGAAAAATCATAAATATTTAATTTTAAGCACATAGACACGAGAACCTAAAAAAAAGAAATTAATGAAATATAAATGATCACAATATTTTATTAATTCCTAATAATGTAAAATATTATTCTAATTTTCAATGGCCCTGAAACTAAAATAATTGAAAAAATATAATTTATAATTTTGAAGTTTTAAAAAATTCCATAATACTCTTGAAATTACAAAAAAAAAAATTAAAGAATATATTTAAATTAAAAAAAGGTCAATTTTAAATTATTAAAGTGGTTCATATTTCGTTAAAAAACTATCTAATACTCTATTTTTATCGGCTAATTTTGTATGCAATAAGAGTAAACAATCCTTAGTTGTCGGTTCAAAAAATTAAACAATCCTTAATTGTCGGTTCAAAAAAATGGACTACTAGCTCGAGCTGCCACAAGGTGTGGTGTCATAATGCTAAAAAAGATGCCTTAGAGGGATGCTGCTACAAAAACGAGACGTAAGTTTTAGGACTAGAGAACATAACAAAAGATAGGAGAACTCAACTATTTTTCGAAAAGATATACCGCCACGATTAGAACAGATAATTATTTCACTTGTAAACATATTTGTGCAAGATATCCAATATTATATATATATATATATTAGGTCAAGAATGTAACAGAAAATTTTAAGAATTTTTTTTATTTTTTAAAAAGTGTAGTATTAGTAAAAATTTATTCAAATATATTTCTAAAACAAAATATTAATCATTTTTACGTATTCAAATATATTAACTTAACTTTAATAAAATATATTGTAAGAAGAAAATTTAAGATTTTATTTTTTATTTTTTAAAAATGTAGTATTAACGAAATTTATTTAAATATGTTTTAAAAATAAAATATTAACCATTTTTCACTTAATTAATAAATAAATTACTAACTATATATCTATATATATATATATATATTCAATTAAAATATAGGGACTAATTTAAATTAAAAAGAAAATTTTAAGATTTTATTTTTCTTTTTAAAAAAATATAGTATTAATGAAAATTTATTCAAATATATTTCTAAAACAAAATATTAACCATTTTCAACTAATTAATATATAATTTCTCATTTCTCAATTATTAGTCCAAGTCATTGCAATTTTTTTAATTTCAATTATTTCAACAATCGGCCGACCTAAGGACATGAAAATTTGCAACAAGTCAATGAATTTTAAATCATGAACTATTGTACCTAATGATCCACAAAAAAAAATAAAAAAAATAAAAAATAATAATAATAATAATAACAATAGTATAAATATTAGGTTTAAGAGTAAAAAAAAAAAAAAAAAAGACCCAAATTTAATTTAAGGGATAAAAAAATTCAAGAAATAAGACAGGATAATAATAGCAGCCTAAGAACATTTCACTCACAAATACCATATTCCCTGCAGGAGAGCGCCCCTAATTCAAGAAGCTCTTCCAACCTCCGCCAAAATATGAATCTGTAAGAGATTGGAGAATACATTAGAGAGATTCAGACATAATAACTTAATAAAACAAAACACCATCAATCTAATTATACACCCTATGCTAACAAAACTGCCTCCTTCCATAACACACTCAATCTTCACTTCTCTTCTTCTTCTTCTTCTTTTCTTTCTTTTTGCTAGGCTGTTCGGTTTCCTCTTCCTCGTCTTCTGCGTGCTTTCGCTTCTTTTTCTTCTTTTTCTCCTCCTCCGCACCGCCATCTTTTTCTACTTCGTCGGGTTCTTCCGTTCTCTTCTTCTTTTTCTTCTTCTTTTCCTTCTCCCCGCCTCCGTTTTGTACTTCTTCAGCTTCTTCAGTTTGTTTCTTCTTTTTCTTCTTCTTCTCGTCCTTTCCGACTTCAGGTTTCGAATCGTCCTCCTTAACTGTTTCCTCTTCATCTGCCCTCTTCTTTTTCGTCTTCTTTTCTTTCTTCCCTTCAACAGTTAAAGGGGCATTTGCTTCCTCCTCAACAGCCTTCTCGAGCTTACCGATGATAGAATCCGCTGCGGTGTTATATGTCTACATAAAACAGAAAAGTCAGTCGTCTATACAAACAAGTGGACGAATAACAGATTGTGAAATGACAATCAGACCTTGGCAGCGGTTATCAAGCCCCCAGCACTCTTCTTCCGGTCCTTGTCGTAGGCTTCGATCTTTGGTTTGCCTTTAGCCGAACCAGCAACATGTCCCAACTCTCTACCCTCAAGGTTTCTTAACCTTGCTTCCAGCTGAGTAAACGGTCATGTTTCAGACACTTCCATAGATCTTAAAAGACAAAGAAATGAAACAGATACCAAGAAAAAGAGTACCTTGGCACGGTTTTCAAGACCCATCGAGTTATCTTGGCCATCGCCCAGAGCATCGCACCTAATTGCCAACGCAGTTTTAGCAGCAAGAGACCGAGAGATTTTTCCTTTGAGCTTGGGAGCGGCCTGACCAATTAAGGATGCATGATAGATGAGACCATACTTGGGAGTTGCATGCTTTGTTTTGAGAGCTCTGAACAGAGCCTTCTCAGCTCCAAGAATCTGCACTGTGCTTCCAGGCTGCTTAGCAAGATTAAGTAAACTTCCACCATGGGCAATTAGGCGGGCACCGACAAGCTCTCCAACGAGTGCAGTCAAGTTAGGAGCAATGGTGTTCATCCTGCTTTTTAGATAATCATACAGTTGGGCTCTGTATTCAGAAAGAGAAAGGACCTGATCACAGAGCTCTCTAATATTTATCAAATCAAGATCACTAACTTCAGTTCCCATTGATATCATACAGGCCTCCTTCAGCTCAGTCTCAACCTCCTCTGGCAATATCTAGATTGAAATATGCATAAAAAATCAACATTTGGAAATGTAAACAGCACAAGAATTTCTATAATGTTAAAGTAAAGTTAACATGGCTCCATTGGGAAGGAAACCGACATCACTTTCTTATGCCACGAACACATTCAACTCCAAAAAGGTGGGTCAAACAGTTAGATACTAAGCTAGTTCAAGGCTTGCTTGAGTTGGAAGAATAGGTAGACATTAGCCATTGACATGAAACAAGCATACAAGCGACACCGGACTTTAACAAATACCATATATATACCTCGGAGAAATCAAGCTGAGCTGCATTATCACGGTTGCCCATTAATTTCACCGTCTTGGCATATTGTATGTTATCCTGAATAATTTTAGCAAGCTCTGGAAAATGCCAGCCATACCACTCCCTAACCCGCATTGCATAAGTGTTCAACTCCTTGTCAAGATCATCAAGCAATCCAATAGCTTGTATGATCATTGTATCCACCTGAAAATCGGATTAAACATGAATTATATCATTTTGTTGAAAAAGTGCACTAACAATATCAACAATAAACGTCTATTTAAAAAGCCAACAGCCATCAATGCTAAATCTGAAAAAGAACAAACCTTATCAGCACTGAACTTCAGTTTATACCGAGACAAACTATGAGACAATCCCAAGCTCATTGGTGCCAAATCTTGAACAGCTAGACCCAATATGAGTTCATTCAATTGGTTTCTTAAACCTCTTATCAACTCCATAATAGAACTGTTGTGCACACAATCTATTTGCTGCATGAAAAGAAGTAAATGACACTCAATAACATAGGATAACTTCATACGCAAACCAGTAAAAAATTATTTGTAGAACCAGCCGCATACCAGCTTCTCTTTGATTATATTTCCAAGCTTAGAATCAGCAACACCCAAGGTTTCACCATCACAGTTGGCTCGTAAAAATTTACGCAATCCTTTGCTGGGTTTGCTGTCAATCAACAATGTGGTAGCTTCCAAAGCTTCTGACATATTTTCAAACTTAGAAAAAGCCTTGAGCTTCACCACCTGATACAATGAGATCAAAACGTTAGGTCCTTGCAAAAGAGAACGTCAACAGGAAAAAGTACACATTGACATTTTACATGCCCTAATACAGTACATTTCTTGAATGGAGAAATCTCATGTCAAAGAATCCCTGTAAAATGGATGCGAATGTGGTAGTGGCTGTAGATTAAGAGAGATTACCTGTCTAGCAGATTCTGCATTGGAAAAATCCTTCCATAAATCCTACATTCAAAATAGTTTGGAAATTAAGATCCATAAACATAGGAAGAAATCAGTACATATATGTATTCACTTATGATATATATTTAATCAAGTGAACGACACATTTTCTACTTAACTTATACTATTGCCAATGAACATTAGGCAACCATCAAACCATAAAAAATAGCTATTTTTACACATCCACCTTCAAACGAAATATACTCAAACAATTTTCAAACAGCATCTACCTCAACTTTGTTGAGCTTTCCTTCATCCAAAACTTTAAACAGGGCAAAGCCTGCCGACGTCTCGAACAAGACCAGCATCTTCACGACCTCCCCAATACACCTGAGAGATACAAAACCATTCCCATTGCACGTTAGTCAAACAATTCACTTAAAAATCCAAACTGAAACCAAAGCAAAAATCTTCAGTTCCTTCCACATTAAAACAATATAAATAAACATACTTCAGGCATCACTAAGGCAACCGCAATATGTTCTTTCTACAGGCAAAAAATAGCATCTAATTCCAATATCCACATTAGATTATCCAATGAAGATCATGATTTCACTATGATACTTCAGAAGTTCCTCGAAACTACAAAACTGCTGCTCCCATGGCCGGTCTAATAACAACCGACCAAACTTCATAGCTACGGCTACCGATCAAACTTACCCATTATCGGAACTCAAAAGTAAGACGTCGGAGAAT